ACCTTTACGGAATTAACTTTCTTTCTATGACCAAAAAAGTGAAGTCATTGGATGTTAATTGCCCAAAAAAAAGAAAAATGTAGCGGAAGTTAAAGAAAGAAGAGGTAGACCGTTGGAGATGCTTCACCGAAAAAAAGTATTTGAAGAGGTAGTTGTAGAAAGAAGGTGTAAAGGTAGTCCGTGTCTACGGTGAAGTCACTAAGTTGAGGAAGCACTAAGCGCACTAGATATACGAGACTAAAAAAGCGCGGTCATACAGCAGAAGCGTTTAGAGAGACACGTTATATCAGGTCGAAATCCAGTAACGGACAATACAAGTATTTGGATTAAGCTCGTATAGCTCGTGGTCAGCATTCTGATAACTTTTCTTTTGATTTTAAGATTCTAGTAATGTTGCCGAGAATAATTTTTTAATACGATCTATGATTTGCTGACATCAATAGAAAATTTAAAACAATCCAAGGAGTAATAAACCTTAAAATAAAATACCCTGCATAACCAAATGTTTTAATGTGTTAATTTTACATATCAATTATATATATGAAAAATGTTCTTAGCATATTAACACTTTACAAAGTAAAATGTTTTAAATATTTTTGTAATTAATAAAAAAATAGTTCGTTAGGGGATGGCAGCTCCTGCCATTAACTCACGAAGTGGTTAACCCAAGTCCTCTCGGCACAGTGAGTGCTTAAAAACAGTTTGGGTGTATCCCAATTGTCCGTCCGGGATATCTGTTAGTTTTAAAATACAGCAAATTGTAAACAATGCTAACAATTTGCTATAAATTGAGACAATACCAGAAACAACAACTACAAAAACAATAACTGTAGTAGCAACAACAATGACAAAAATTAAAACAAAAATATAAATACCGACAAATGGAGAATTTGTAAGCCAGAATTATTGCAGTTATTTCGATGATTACAAAACCACAAATTTACTGTAACTTCGAATTGTTCGGTTGGTCAGTGGCAGTGCACTTTACTCCAAAGTAGGCATAAAAATGGCACTCATATGCAGAGTAGAGTAGCTTTGCAGTGTACATAGTAGAGATAGTGTATAAATCCGTAACGAGACCTCAAAAAGTATTCAGCTTTATTTAAAATACAAAAATTATTTGAATGAACGATTTCATAAAATAAAAGCAAAAAAAATTTAGACACAAATGCGAAATTTACATTTGTGGTTTTGCAATTGTTTTGGGGTTGGGTGCCAATGCATGATAGGTGTGGAAACCTTGTGAGCATTTGTTACTGAGTTGTTGTCATTGCCAATGGAATTTACGAGCCACAAATAAAAATTGTTTAAATATTTTTCATTTACATGCCATGCTCAACGCACATCAACACGCAACGCCTCACCAACGTCAATGTGTGCAATGCAACATCAACGTCCATTTTAAACGAATAGTTCCGTTGGACATAAAGTGTCATACACCACAGCAACTACAGCAAATACATCTACAACAGCAGCAACAACAGCAACAACAGCAGCAGACAAATATGTACATGAACGGAAATGAAAGAATGTTAACAACATCGACAACAGCAGCAGCAGCAGCAGCAGTGGTAGGAGGCGTAGTCGTGCCTTTGCAAACAACTTCAGCAGCAACAACGACTTCTGCAGCATCCAATACAAATGGTTTAGTAAATGGCAATGGTATTATGTCCACAATAGTGTCAGCAACAATGACGACAACAGCGACAACAACAACATTGCAAAGCAAATCAACATTTGCAACGCACAACGATACACTGAATGGTAAAAACGGAAATATAACAACCCCGATTACAGCAAGAACAACACCAACAACAATTGTCAACGGAAGTATCAACAACCACAACAACAATAATAGCAATATTAACCATAACAATAGCAACAGCAACAGCCTTAACATTAACAGTGCCAGCAGCAATAGCAGTAACAGTATCAATAACAACAATAATACAAACAATACCAACAATCAACTAACAACTCCAATTGGCGGACCCGGGCCACCTCATTCCTTACTGCTATCACCGAACGCAACAAATGCTTTAACTTCCGTTTCCGCTGTGAGAGCAACACTCAGTGAATGTAATTTAAATAGCAATAGCAATAGTTTAGGTACGATTTGTAGTAATAGCAACTGTAATGGCAACATTAATAGCAACAACAACAACAACATTAACTGCAATGGCATTGCCCTTTCACTGCAACAGCAATTGCAATTGCATACACCACAAATACTCGGCAACCTCAGCCAACACCATCAACATCAGCCTTTACATCCGGCAGCCGCTTTAATTGCCAGTAATGCCAACGGTATCGATGTTGCCAGTATAAGCGATGCATTGTCAATCGTTTGTGGCTATTGTTGCCAGCCAATTTGTGATCGCTATATTATGCGCGTTGTGGATACTTCATTTCATGAGAGTTGCCTCAAGTGCGCGACCTGCTCGCTTCATTTGGTGCACTCGTGCTTTGCGCGGGATGGGAAACTCTATTGTCGCATAGACTATGAAAGGTGAGTAAGAACTTGATATGAATCTAAGTAACTCTAAACTTCATTTAATGAACTATAAAACTTAGCTACTTGAGAAATAGGTTAGTAGGTTTACTTGTGTATAAAAGATATTATTTAACAATACTCTTTTCTGTTTGAGGAATTAGGATTATTTCCTAAGAAGAGTTTTTTAATGATTTTATTTTTAATGAGTTAATAGAAATTAATTTCGATTAATTATTATTCAAAATTATTCACGAATGTCTATAAAATATAAAGGTATTTTGTATTCATGCTAGTTTCAGCTAATCATTTCCAATTCAAATTGTTCCATATATAAACACACATGGGTACTGTGGATAAATTTAGCTATTATAAGTACATCCATTAAAACAAGCCATGAGAAATAACAGCTTTCTATTTTGATCACATAATCAAACCCACATACCTTGTTGACTTTTGATGTAATTTGTAACCCGAAAAGAAATACCTACATATAAGAATTTATGTGTATATAATTTTTTGC